CAACTGCCTGACAGCGCTGTGTGTCCCCATCCCATGGGACCTCCTTACCCCACCGACCTGTGCCCGGCAGCACTCACAGGCAGAGGGGACAAGGAGCTGCCTGGGAGTCCAGACTCTTGCTGGGGACACAGCAGCCCATTCCCAAACCCTGCCAAGCTCTCGTGGCCAGCTGCACTTCACAGGCAGACCAGAAACGCTCGGCTTCCCGGAGACCCCCACCTCTCTCCATGTGCCAGACCTTCGGAGAAACTGCTATTTCAAGCGTGTGCTGGAGCCCGTCGCCTGTCCCCGGGCGTTAGCACAGTCTGCAGAGCCGGGCACGCGTCACCCGCCGCGCTGCAGCATCTGAGCTGTGCCCAAGGTCAGAGAGGATCTGGCCGCAGAGCCAGGAATAGCTCAGCAGGGAAGGAGGAACCCAAAATCCCACACACCTGGGGACAGGGCGCTCTGTCCTGCCAGCCTGGGGACAGCGGGATGGGGGTGGGCAAGTAATTTAAGCCGCAGCTAATTCATTCTATTTTTTAAGGTGTTAAGCAAGGAGCCTGAGCCCGTGTGACAGCCACCGAGGAACGCCAGCCTGCAAACATTTTGTTTGCTTGTTTGTTCTTTTTCCCCAAATCAACTCCTAAATTTATAACCGGAGCTGACAAAAGCAAAAGGACACGTTTGCAGCTAAGCCGCAGCGGTGTCCTCAGCTGACCCCTGCTCCCAGCTGCTGCTGCTGCCCCGGTGGGCAGCTGGGGCTGGGGGAACTGGTTCCCAGTTCTTGCTACACTGGGGGAGAGAAAGCCCTTCCCTTTAAAACCGGGCTGCCCGTCCTTGTGCAGCATCCTCCAGAGAAAGGGGAGAGCGGGAGCGGGCACTACAGGGCCAACAGACCCCGCTGAGGGTCCCCCACACCACGGCTGCCACCACCCCTGGGGGGTCCAGCCACCCCCTCCTCCCCTCCAGGCACCCCCAGGCTGTGGGGGGACCCCGGGCAGCCCCAGATGCCCATCCTGAGGGAGCTGCTGGGCACAGCCCATGAGCCATCGCTGGCTGG